TTTTTGGCTTTTGCGTTTTAGTATTTGGTGTCATAAAAAGTTTCCAAGTTTTTAATTAAAATGGCGTTTACTATTGGAAAAATAAGTACGTTTGCCAATTGTTCTATTAACTCACGTAATGTTGTAGAAGGAGAGCAAGTTTTAAAAAGTAAACAAATAATAGGTATTGTGTGGAAAAATTGTTAAGGTATATTACTTATATATTATTATATTTAAACAAATCATAGTGTTTAGGCCAAATTAGTTGTTTGTATATAATATATATTGTAAAGTTGGCAACACCAGGTGTTGATTAGTTTTTGTTTGTTCTACGTTCATATTATATCCGCGCCGGATGAGTCGGCACTTGTTATACCATCTTCCGTTGATGTAGGTCGTTGTCGGTTATTGTTGTGTGCCCTTTGATCAGTTTTTCAGCCTGAAATCCACGTGGTCCCCGAATTTTCCATTGACTTTGTAGTAAATATCGTTCGTGGGCAGTCTGTTGTCAATTTATAAATTTTTGTATTTTTAGCAGGTCGGTCACTATTTTGTGTGGTGGGTATGTTATGGTGTACTGTGCCACTGTGGCTTTGTATCTGTATTCATCGGCGTGGATGAATGTGCTTCAGTGACTGCTGTAGGGTAGTCGCACACACACKGGTTGTTGGCTGTATTTAATTATGATTTTAAGTATTTGTATGTATTATTAAACTCCCGTGTGTGGTCGCGTGGATGAAATCACCTATCTGCAGCAGTCACAGTATTGTGAGTATATTCTGTTGGCCTTAGAATTATATTAGTTGTGTCAGTTAGGACAACATGTTATTGTATTGGTATATTCTGTTKGCCTTATAATTATATTAGTTGTGTATATTTTTACATATATTATTATTATACCTTGTGACATTATTAACATACCATTACTATTATTATTATTAATTGTGATATTTTCATTAGGTACCTATTAGTATTATTGTAATTTATTTTTGTTAAACTATTGCAACTAAAAAATAATAAATTAAATATACAGTCCATTACATCATAGTTTGTTATTTACATAATATAGTAAGGTTATTAAATATTAATAAAACTTTAAACCTACACATAGTATGTAATACTTTTAAACAATAAATCATTAATTAATAAACAATATCTTATATTATGTTCTTTTTGTTCAAAGTTTCTTTTCCCATTCGTAATTTAATAGCCCACATCTGTCTTCTATCAACTAGACATTATTACCAAATTTATTTGTCCATAAAACTTTACGTTCATTTTCTTTAGGGAAATGATGAAAGCTAATATTTGATGATGTGGAATATAAAGAATTACAGCCATAAACGGAACAATTCACATGGCTTTTTTTATTTTTGTCAGACATTATATTAGAATAAAGATATAAAAAATATAAATAAAATATAATATATTCTACTATATGATTAATATTNAATAAAGATATAAAAAATATAAATAAAATATAATATATTCTACTATATGATTAATATTAAGAATATAATATATAATTAAGGAAAAAAAAATATTAATTAAGTTTATTAATGTACTAATGTAGTRATGTGTAATAATGAAACTATCATAATAATAAACTATAATATTTATCCTACTCCGGATAGTTATAACTTTAACCACCAGAGTGCGTATCATTATCTTGTTTTCCCAATAGCCAATTCCCAATTAAATAACAAATTTTAAATTGATGTTATTGAAATGTTTGAAAAAAATCTGAAACTGTGCCGGTTTTATTCTCAATTGTAGAATAATTGTTTAGAATATCAATAGTCAATGTCTGATAAGTATTGTATAGATATATGCATGTCATTTGTTTCAATAGAAGGGGGGCCACTATTTGTTGAAGAATAAAGACTGTAGGGTGTTGGAGTATTRCTATAGAATGGAGTTGATGATCTAGTTGAAGCTGATACTATTTGGATAGCATTTCGATGTAATGTACCCATTTGACCTTCAAATAAAATGTCGTTGATAGCCTTTTTTGCAAACATTTGTTGTTGGGCATTCATTTTTTGAAGTTCCGATGCCCAAGCAATAGCTATTTTCCTTTCATCACTATCTTCCGTCTGACGTAAACGTTTACAAGCTAATCCTATAAGTTCTTCCTGTTGCGATTGATGTTTTTGATGTTTTCTTTTTACATTTGGAATTGTAAACAATTCTTCAGTTTCCTAAATAAAAAAATAATTAATACCTTTTTTTGTTCAAAGATTCCAAAAACGGAAGCAGAATGGGTGGAAACAGCAAAAAATTTCGAACAAAAATGGAATTTTCCACATTGCCTGGGAGAACTGGACGGAAAACATGTTGAAATAAGAAAACCTCCAAACAGTGATTTCGCTATGAG